AGATTCTTCGAATGTTTTCAATTTTTCTTTCTTAAAAAATGTTTTTAAAATTAAAAACCAATTTTTCTTACTCAGCTCGATGCGCTCTATCCATCCATGTATAAATAAACGAAAAAAACCTTTTGTTCAAACTCTGAATTTCCAGCACCCTACATAATGAAAGATTTGTAAAAGATGAACACCCTGTGAGAGTAATCGTCAAAAGCCAAAAATAATACTTTCTCGTAGCTTCTTATAAGCCTTCTATTTGTACTCGAGTCCGATTTTTGAATACTAATAGTAAACACAAAGTGTTCGATACTCATAATCGAAAAACTATGTACTGAAGAGAAAACTTGCTTTTGGCGAGTGCCCTTGCGATGAGAAGCACCAGTATCTTAGCACTGGAAAACGATATGAATGTTTTTCAAACAAGAAAAGGTGTGAAAAAAATGAAAATTAATATTGGTTCCAGAACGCTTTTTCATATACTGGAGACGTTGTAGAACATTCTAATGGAAACACTCTTGAAAGCTTTTGTTGTTTATGAAATGTGATGGCAATAAGCGTTAATTAGGGACGTATGAATATATTTAACCATTACTGTACTTCATGTGAACCTTTTACCATTTAAAGTGGTTTTTCGTTAGCAACATGACCAACACATTGACACATTCACGTTATCTTCTACGACGAGCAAAGTAAGAATATTTTGTTGCTTTTCGATGCAGTAAGTAATTGTTTATGATCAGTCCAATTAAATTCTTTTACTAAGAATTTATGTCAGTATGCCCAAATATATACTTTCTTTTTGTATGCTATATCTCTCATAAAAAAGTCGATGATTTAGACAATAGCATATGTTTTGGATCGACAGGTGAGTGTGTAAAGCTTGAACAGATTTTACTATGACTCTATTATTTGGTTTGAATCTTGTACATTAGTCAAACTTTTCTAAAATACGTTATCATGTTACAAAGATCTGTTAGTTCTTATGATACTTGAAAGTAATCGATATTTCTCTAATGTAGTAACAAATGAACTTATAGACTATATGATTGATTTTTTCCTTTATTCTCACAGACTTTTTCTAACGATATTTTTGTGACAAAAATGAATTCAACTATTAAAGAGAGCATAAAAAAATGTGCAAAATCATCTGTTTAATAGACTTAAAATTCTTTTCTCTCACTTCTTTTCATCATCACCTTCTATCGCTAATGGACTTAACCATCATTTTACCGATCAGATAACAAAAATTGTGATGGAGAGGAAGAAATAATATAATGTACGCGTTCAATAAAAGACTAGTAAAACCTTGATGTTTATGCTATAGACAGGAAAAAACAACAGTTTTTTTCTTTCATGTTTGCATCTAACAAAAGAAAAACAATTCTAATACCCATCGAAAAGCTTCCTTTATTTTTTTTTCACTATACTGTATTCATTGTACGCATTCCGTTAACATCGTCAGCAACATCCGTTACTATAAAGAATGGCCGATTTATATCCGTCGAGAAATGCCGAAAGTTTAGACAGTTTCCCATGGCCGTATAATAGCAATAAAAATCATAATTTCAACTCATTGAAACGGAATACAGAACAGGTAATGAGCCGCTTTGTTGTTGTTTTTTAGATCTGCTGTGCCAACCTTTCATTACAAATCCGGTAGACCAAAAACAATTCGAGTTTTTTGTAAAGCGGTCAGTATAACTGTATACACTATTTTCTCTCGCAATATATGGATACGAGAGCATACAAAGCCAAACAACTTATGTTTTTTGTCCTCAAAAAATTTATAAAATAGGTAAACGTAACCTTAGTCGATTAAATTGGTTTATTTACGAATTTCATACGACGAAGATACGACAAAAGATCTAAATTTATGTTAAAAGTAATTTCTTAGAATATTTCATCAGGATTTGCTATTTTTGTTTGTAAACAAACGATGATTGTGATAAAAAATAAGAGGTGAAAGTTAGTATGATCATGTGAGATCTGTAATTGAGTCAAGAAAAGTGTTTAAATATTGTCTTTTTTTGTAGTATTTCATTAAGTATGTGCAATCAAAAGTTGACAAATAAAACTATAATATATATTTAAAGTGAACTTTTTTCTTATAGTATTGTCCAGTCCATGCTGCACCAAAATGTACATGTAATAGTATTGAAGAGCAGGAAAATGAAAATGACGATGATGACAACAAAGATAATGATAATATCGAAAATGAAAATTCTCCCGGAAAACCTTTTACTAATAATCCTTCTTATCCAACTACGCAAAGGGATATTGTGGGAAACAATCTTCAATTTAATCCAACTTCTACAGACGGTTGGAGCGATGGGGAAACAGGCAATTTACAATCATTATTAATGTACAGAGATGCATTGAAAAGAAATTTAACAACGCCAATGTTAGCGGGTGGAGGGTTACCGAAGTAAATAAAAAGAAATTGAATTATAAAATAATTTCTATATCTGTGAGCGTATATTTTAGAATGCGTTGTGGTCGAATTGGAAGTAGCTGGCGACACATTAAACAAACAAACACATATAGTGGATCGAATTTATTATTTATTGATGGTTTGTAATGAAATTTATATATATACAAAAATCTCTCACAATATATTCTTGATATACTTCTAATAGGTACTGTACGTGTAGAAGATAGTTATAAATTTCCAATGAATCGATTTGGCTATCCGCCTAAAATGAAACATCATCAATCGTTGAATTATTTAAATAAATATGATACTCATCGTTATGGACCGACGATGGCACAATCATTCAATACCGGTACAGCAAAATCCATGGACAACTTTCACACAAGATCAATGGATAATTTAGCATGGTACGATCCGATCTACCGTAATTGAAACTTAACCAAAACCTATTTGTTCGTTCATTTTATAGGAGTGGAACAAACGAATTAAATAGACGTCCATCAATATCACAATATGATAGTCGATATTCTCATCATCCTAAAGATGCTTATTGGCCAAAGGATGGGTTTAATAAGAAGCCAAAAGGTAATGAAAAATAGATATTTTAATAGTTGGATACGAGCTAGTAAAAGGCTAAAATATTACAGATAATCAGCTGATTTTTTCTGCTGTTTTAAAAACTATCAAGTATATAACGTCAAGTCAGCATATGAGCATATAAAAGTTTTATACCAGATATTCTATAATCGTAATCCGTTGAATATTTTGAATGCTAGACTAAAGCCTTGATCAATCAGTTAAAAAATGAATAAATAAAAAATTTCTATGTTTCAAAGGTTGGTCGGATTTGTTCGAGGTAAACTGTTTACTACCAGATAGATTATTACTATATTAAAAGCAAAAATAGTATAAATTAATTATGATCAGTTATGCTTTTCATGAAACCTTTCACCAGTTTATCTACACATGAATAAATGATCGATAGCTGAGGCACTAGACTTTATAAATCTATTCACATATTCATGATCCACCCGTTCACTATACAACACTGACACTTGCTGTTTGTTTGAAAATTTTTTACACCTCCAATTTTTATGTGTGTATGGTATTTTTTTGAGTGTGTATAGACTTGTCTATCTTTTACAAGAAGGAGACTATATCGCTGTTCTGTTTGGATAAAATGAGAAAAAGTCTCAGTTTTCTCCTGATTTAGATCATGATTAACAAAAATGTAAAGAAAAATCCTGTTAAAGATTTCGATTTCGAAAAATAAATCTTTTTAAATGAACATGCTTATTTAGATTTCAAAAAGAATCTAATAAATCCACTTTTTTTTATGTAACAAGAATTAGATGTGGAAAAATCATCTGACTGCCGTATTTAGCCTTGTTTTTACACATTTATACGTTCTTGATATCAAAATTCTTGGAAGATTTAGTACGATATCTGCAACCATTCTGTTTTGTAATTAATGTCAAAAGATTATCATTTGTAACTAACTATAGTGAATGTAATACTACACGGCATGTTGACAAAAACTGAGACTGGTTATTTATTTATATATATATATATATATATATATATATGATTCGAAATCTACTGTATACTTTTATCAAGATTCAACTATGCATTTTAATATAAAAAGAATTACTCTTCAAAATCGAGATGATTAAGAGAATTTTTATCAACCACGATTCAACGCATAATATTACAAGATTATGTAATATTTGTACATCTTCCTATGCGGTAGACCAGGATGGTTTAAAAAACCTAATATTAAATGAAAAATAACATATATTTTTGTAATTTTAGGGCAACAATGCTGCGCTTGAACGTATAAAACATGGTTAAGACATGATTAAATGATGATTTTGTTAAATTATAATGATGTAACAACGGATATTAATCATTCGGTCTTTCATTTATTCACATGGATGATAAAAGCGTTAAGAATATTTTACATTTTAGTAAAGTTTTCCTTTCTTTTCACATGTCTGATATAATATCTATATTTTCTGCACATGTGCTTAGTCGGATTGATGATAAAAATTATGGTTTGTACGTGTGTAAAACAGATTTTTAAATTTACAACAGAATGAAAATAATAAAATTAATTTTGTAAATGTACGTTGAACCACTGATTTGTTAGTAAAACATAAATTTTTTTAAATTATTTATGATTCGAGAATAGTATGAAGCAAAAAGTTTGATGTTGAATATTCATCAACGAGCATTGTATACCTTTTAGATGTTGACCTTTTTCTTTCTTTATTTCAGATGTTCTTCTTTTTCATATGTTGTATGAACGCAAGCTGTAAATAAGTTAACAACATTTAAATAATTGACTGTAATACCGGTGTCAACATGCACGTTTAATTATTTCATTATACCTCTGCGATTTTAGTACAAGTCTTAATTTTGATTTTGATTTGATAAAAGAGTCAATATATCTAAAAACAAAAGTGAAGAGTCTCTGAGAAGCTTTAAAGTTCAGATCGTTTGTTATTTGACTGCATTTATACACAGCCACTGTTATTATTTATACGATTCATTTCAGTCATAAAAATCGAACTGTATTTGAAACAGAGGCTCACTCTCAACCAGAGTTGTAACCGGTCTAAAAATAAGAGGCCAGACCGATCCGGCCAGTCCAAAACAGCGGAACGAACCGGGCCTGCCGACCACCGGTCGGTCCAAACATCGGTTTAGACTGGTGAAAAATCGGCAAAAGGCCTGTCGATTTTGAAAAATTCTCTAGACTGGTTAAAAACAGCAAAAGATCTGCCGGTTTTGAAAAAATGTTTAGACTGGTGAAAAAACGGCAGAAAGCCGACCGATTTTCAAAGATCTTCTAGACAGACAAAAGGGCAGAAAAACTCACTTTTTCTTAGTGAAGAAGAGAAAATTTCTAAGAATTTCAAAACCGGCAAAAAACTAGTCAATCACCGGCCGGTCTGAAAATCTTCTAGAGCGGTGGAGACCGGCCCGGTTACAACTCCGCTCTCAACTGAGATACATTAATAAGATACCGATTGTACCTCACGAGGGAACCTTCTTAACTGTTCAATCGCTTTTCCTTAAAACATACATTATTGTGGGTAGTTTTTGATGTTGATCACGAATCTGATATTCGTTTGTGCTGCTTTCTGAAGTGGGTCTCTGAAATCCGGGTGTTCGAAGACTCACTATGAATTTCTAGCTGAACACATTCTCGCACTATCAGATTGTAGAGCACGTTGAGTTACCTATGTGGAAAAGTTTTCAGAATCAACGAACAAGTTTTCGCAGAGATAGAAAAACCCTCTATCTCTGCGAAAACTTGTTCATTGATTCTGAAAACTTTTCCACATAGGTAACTCAACGTGCTCTACAATCTGGCAAGTAGAGTCGTGGCTACATTTTAGTAAAAAGAAAAAGTTTTCATCTCGCTTAGGTCAGGAACGATTGATATTTTACGGAAAAGAAATAAATCGATTATATCTCACGAACCATCCAGTAAAAGAGGCCCAAACTTTGTGGGTAATCAGCATTCCGTAAGAGCTATGACCATATACAATAAGAAGTCCCTAGCTATCATGGTTCTTGAGTTACAGGGATGTCGCTACTTTTCCGCAGCACTGTAGATGTCGACTAGAAACATTTAATAATCGTAAAATAAAATAAAATATTTTTAAGCTGTTCATTTTCTGTTTTTTGATATTGAGATTTATTGTTCCCGAAGGTTAACAAATGAAGAAAAAATAACACATTAGATAATTATCATTGTCACAGAGGGAAGTTGATTCGCAAACATAGCTCATATATAAAGGTAAACAAAATGCAAACACAAGGAAAATACATGTTTAGCAGCCACACGAACCTGTCGTGATGTAAAAAATAAAATTGGTTTAGAGACCGGAGAAGCTCACACATAATAAGAGAAAAAAAAATACATTTATTTTTACATTTCATTTTTCTGACTATACAGTTTTATTAACTATGCAGATGGAGGAAAATACTTTAACATAAAATGTTCGATGAGAGAGGTAGTGTTTTTAAAAATATAGAGTTGTTTTTTATGTATGTTGTTGAAAGATAGGTAATGAAGTTTTGTATGAACTGCTCTATCAGATAAGCGCTTTGCAAACTTATTGTTTTTTCTGAAACCCATAGATTTATAATATGTTTTCCCAGGAGAGGTGGCGATTAGAAATGCAAACCATGTCTGCTGATATGCAACAGCTTCAAGGGATTCTTCTAAGTGTTTGTTAAATTTTTCCCAGTATCTGTAAATATAATCTCTCAGAGAATTGTCTCTGCTCAGAATCATCGTAGTTAGATCATCCCAGCTCCACAAGGAGTACACCAATTTCATTCCTGTACAGTCTACATGTTCGATTTGTGTTTTTTGTTTGTCTGTGAAATAGAACCAGATAAAGAAAAATCACACAAAATGCGGTAACGCAAACGCACAAACATTTTCTTCTTATTTTCACCTCATGTTTTTGTATAGTTTGAAAAAATTTTCTCAGATCACAATAGACATTTCTCGCCGTTTAGATGTTCATTTTCTCTAAATCTATGAGTGATATAGTACAAAATGTTTGATTGTACGCTTTGTCAGTGTACACATTCTTTCTAAGCACAAATATACTTTTGAGATTCAATACCGCTACCACAATCACCCTTGTCCCATTTGGTTTTTATTATTAAATCTTTCTCTAGTTTTCCACACCCAGATGTAGCATAATCTTGTATTTTTCTGTGACATGCTTGTTGACAATTTGTCATGGCTGGATCATTGCACGAACAAAATACACACGACGAGTGATCCCAATTTCGAAATGGAAAATGAAGAGTGTCTGAGACTGCTGAACATGTACAGCTAAAGAGAGAGTGAGAGAGAGAAAGAGAGAGAGAGGGAGAGGGAGAGAGAGAAAGAATTCATGTCTTTGAGAAAATATATACATACGTACCTCCTATACATCTTGTTGCAATAAACAAATACGAAACATAAAACAACAATAACGGCAATCAAACTCGATTTCATCATTAGATCGATGATCTGAAACAAGAACATTCAAAAGTCATATTTTTATATTCCCTATATAATACAGTCAAGTATGATATTGAACGATATTAGTGCTCATCTCTGCTATTTTAAAATAGACGCTCGATCTTGGCTGAATAGAGCTATTTGGAAAGTGATACCTGAAATATAGAAGAGCTGGAAGAACAACTATATATTTTTCAACATATGTAAACAGAATCTTCTAGAGATTCAAGAAATATTTTGACCTTATGTTAAATTAATTTTCGATTTGTGTTTTCGAATTCTGAAGGAAGTTTTTTTAGTATATTCTCGGTATCCTCTAATTGGATATCAACCAACTCTTTCGTTGGTTTTCAGTATTTGAAGTAGTCAATTTACATTCTTTTATATCGATACAATCGCGACTTCTCTCACACAGCAATAATAAATACCAGATACTTTAAAACGAAAAAGTCTTGATTCTTTTTCCTTTTTACAACAAGTCACACACCAAAAAAATCGAAAAAATTAATTTGATTTGTATTGAAAATAATGTTTTATTGCTGTTTTTTTCTCTCTGTTGATCTAAAAGTACAAATATACAAAAACACTTGAGAAAAAGAAAACACATTTTAATCATCTCGTGAGAGAATGGTAGGTTTAGATAAATTTTCAGTTATATCGTAGTGAGACATTTGTTCCATGTGAAACAGAAGTCTTGTATGCAAGGTGCAAACTGACAGTTCCATCACATACAAAAATACGTATTTTAATACGTATGATTAAAATCATCAAATTATCCTCGATTTAAAAGGCTTCTAGAGAAATTTTATATGTTAGATTTGTTCATTAATGTAAAAATTTGTATCGGAGCAACTGATAAGTTAATTGGACAAGACTAAGAAGAGAATAATATTCTGTCTGTCTTTCTGGAATGATTTTATATATTTTTCCATTCGATGTTACACGCAATTTGTACATTGGCAAAAATCGTGTTAATAATAAGAAAGGCAAGTTCAAATAGATTTATTTTTGTTATCAATATATTTTCATTTATAGTTACAGGTATTTATTTGTTCATAGGCAAATATAAATTTGTGAAATATTTTGTAACCACGGAAACACAACTGAAAAAACAAAGAAAAAGCTTTTAACGTATTCACGTTTAAAATAGCATAGCTCTCGAAAGATGAAAAATATGATTCACACTATTATTCAACATGAATTTTTTCTCACAAAGGATAAAAATACATTTTCTAATATTTCAAGAAACTTTTTGTGAATTTAAGTTCGGATGAATATTGTTATTGTCACTGAAAATCAGCATCCTAAAATAGACGAGTGAAATGTGAAATTTATCTTCGTTCTTTAGATCTGCTCTACTACAACTTTGAATAGTGCCGGATGGCAGACTCAAACCAGAATTTGATTATGTCAGCAAAATTTCTCGACACTTGGACAAGATGTTAAAAAATTCTACGAAAATCATAAATAAATATTATTAGAAATCGCGATAGTTCTCACTAAAATCCTAACAAATTCTTACCAACTCTTAAAAAAGTCTTAGACAGATAGAGAAATATCTGTATATTCGAACTTAAATTCGTCTAACATCTTAAACAAATGTAAGAAAAACTTTAATGAAATTACGCTAAATCTTAGCAAGGTTCGATGAAGGTTCTAACTACGACAAGAACAATTAACTAAACATGAATTAATGGATGAGGGTTCCGCATTGATAATAAATAAGTAATAACTTCCAACACTGGATTGTGTACGTTATTTAAGCAGTCTTTGACGGATTTCAGGCTGATTTTCTACACTTTCCTTAGTTTCCGACAGACATATTTTGTTTGAAAATTGAATTAGCTAAAATTGAATTTAGCTAGAATAATAAAATACCACGTATAGTTTGCGACAGTCAGTTCAGCGCGTTTCATTTCGAAATAACAGTAATGGTATGTGCTATCACATCATACTAGGAATCGTTCTTACAAATATGTAAAAATAACAGATTTTTACAAAATTCAAAATGTATCAAATAATTTTTGATTCGGTAAATCAAAATGTGTTGTATCGTTATCATTTTTCAATCGAGGTCGATACAGAGCTTTTCTTGGATCTTTACTATAGATGTCATTCCAATTAAAGCCAAGAAACCACAAATGTTCTTTAATTTCTTCTGCATCACCTCCTTGGCTACCTAAACGTCTTGTTGGATGCTGTTCAAGTAGTGAACGTAACAAATCTTTTACTGATTCACTAAAATGAGAGGGAAAACGTCGATATTGCCCATTAGCAGCCGCACGCAATGTCATATGTCCTTCATTCTGAAAAAATGGCGAATAACCAGCAATCATTTCATAAATTAGTGTGCCCAGTGACCACCAATCAACCGGTAGTGAATGACCAAGTCGAAGAATAACTTCAGGTGGACAGTAGAAAATATCTCCTTTGATTGTTTGTGCATGTGTATGTGGTTGAATAACACGCGTCAGTTGAAAATCAATTAAACGAACATATCTAAAACAGGAAAGAATTGAAAAAATTAATAAATAACGAGAATTTTGTATGTTATATTAAACGTTCAGGACTGGAATAGTCATCTTACCCGTGTCTATCGAATACGACTGTGTCGGGATTTAAGTTTCGATAAGCTATATCCAAACCGTGTAAATACTGAAATGCTAATATAATTTGAGCTGATATATGTTGACTCATTTCTTCGTCTAATCTTAAACGTTCTTCAAGTAAATGATTCAACGTTCCTCCTCCTAAATATTCATAACAAATATATTGATACGGACCAAAATCAAAAGTGCCAAACACAGACACAATAAACGGATTTTTGAACGCTAAAATAAAGAAAAGTTGAGTTTTTCTACGATATGATTTAAAATAAAATTATTTCTTTTGTTCTTTTTTTTCTCTTACCGGCTAACATTCTTACTTCTCTATGATATATTTTCTGTTTTTTCCACTGTTCATAGAATTTTTTAAATATTCGTTTAATAACGTAGATTCGTCCATCTTTTCTCGAATGTGCTAACCATACTTGACGAAACATGGATATACTTAAACCTTTTAATGGAAGAAATTCTTCTTTATTTAATTGTCGAATTGTATATTGATTAATTTCAAAGAGCAGTTTTGTTTCATTGATTGCTAGTGAAATTTCTTGATTGGCCAGATTTGATAGAATATCAGACATAATTGGTTTACCACGAATTCCTAACACTGTTAATAAACGTTTCCACAAATTTCGCCATATTCGAGAATGATGACGGTGAAAATTACGAAACGTTTGTCCATTACACATTTACGTATTAATTCACTATATTTTTACCTCTTACAATAATTACTTATGAACATGGCGCGTTAACTCTCAATCAAGAAATTAATGCTGGTATCAAAAAAGAATATAATTGTTCATGCGATCTTAGAAAAGTCATTCATTTTTCCGAGATTCTTTAATAAATATTTGCGAGAAAAGAACAAATCTTATTGAGCCTCAGTTGGTTACTGGAGTACCTATCAATCAGCTCTATAACATAAAAACAGTCTGTTATCCTATAGACCATAGATTTATTGCTATTTGTTATAGACATTCTTTGAATTCAAGCAGATTTGAAAATGGTCAAAACTCTTCTTAATCGAAACTTCTGAAATCTTAAAATATCACCAGAGGTGTTCCAGACAGACGCTGTTTTCTACAGAACTAGAGCCTAATTAAAAAATTTCTTCCCCTCATTCGAAGGAGCATCGAGTGCCCCAATAAATAAATAAAAAAAAACAACAGCTCTGTAGAATGAACTATATTTGAAAAAAATTTACGTGACGTTTGCCCACTAGCACAAAAATCGATTTTGAGAAAAACGCTAACTCTTTCTAAACGAGACACGCGAATTAGCGTTTTTTGAATAACTCAAAGATGATAAAAGATAGAGATTTGGGATTTTCAGCAATCAAAAGAAAACAGTTTTGCCTCTGTTTTCTTGTGCAAAATCTTTTTCGAAAAATATTCGAAAGATCGGCTTTCTAGGAGGCCTTTAGAAAACCAGTTTGGATCTCCGGATATTGAGATACCAATCGATCAGTTTTTTCCAGTAGGTATATAGTCCAAAGTGTTCTCTCCAAAATGGGAGTCAAGCGAACTCTTAATTTTTCCTGGTTCAGGTGTGGCATCAGGGTTCCTGAGAGTGCCAGAAACAATATTTCTTTAGGCGAGGTAATTCCGAAAATGAATGGAAACATAGGTAATCAATCACACTGCATTTCAGACCCTCGAGGAAAGCCACATCGTTTAAGTATCAACGGGACCTTGTCGTTAGCCTCATGGAAAGTCAGCGGTAAAAAAGAGTTAACAATTCAATTTCAACAACAGCTAAAAACCTCATCCTTAACGCTCGGAGAAAGGCAACCCGAAAGCGATATGCAGTGGCTTTCCAGAAATGGGTTAGCTGGTGTGATTTAAAACATGCCAATATATTGTTGCTCTACACAATATATTAAATTTTTTCCGTATTTTATATGATAAAGGTTTCGAATTTTCAACAATAAATGTTTATCGCTCTACACTGTCCTCACGCCTAGATCCCTTAGATCAATGTAAAATAGGAGAGCATCCGCAAGTCAAGTCACTTATGAAGGGAATCTTCAACATGAGGCCTCCAAAGCCACGTTACACTCACACCTAGGTCATCAGCAAACTCCTCCACTTCATCAGCTCACTCGGTGATAACCAATTGATGACATTAAAAATGTTGACATTTAAACTATCAGCATTACTTATATTGTATAATGCATCGCGCAGCTCAGAAATTAAGAAACTGAAACTTAGTAATATGTTATTATTTTGAGGACAAGATCGTTTTTAATCTGGATGAGTTAACAAAAACGCAAAAAAACAATTAACCCATGAACAAGTTAGTCTACTACAAATATACTGAGGATGAAACTCTGGACATAACTGCAGCTTTACAAACTTATGTTGAAAGAACACAGATTTGGAGGAAATCACAGGCACAGAATGAAGATCAACTGCTATTAACAGTGATCGCACCCCACTCTCCAGCAAAATCGGTCACAATTGCAAATTAGATTAGACGTACTATGCAACCCACCGGCATTGATACTAGCAAGTTCAAAACTCATTCTTGTAGAGGCGCTGTCACCGCAAAAGTCAAGTTTCAAGGACTTGTAATACATCAGATCCTTAAAACAGCTAAATGGACCAATGCAAACACGTTTAGAAAATTCTATGATAGAGAACTTGGCCAAGATGAGCAGTGCTTCCAAGAAGCAGTTTTACACCGCAGTAGGTTTAAGCTTTGAATATACTCAGTTCAGTTCTTACTGAAGTTTGTGAAATAAAATTAAGAATTTTATTAGAGAATTTTAGTAACTCTCGACATGAAATTAGAATTTTATGAACAAACTGAAGTAAGAGATTAACTTAGTACCCACCCGTCATATCCCACATACACAAAAACGTAATATGTTTCGTTTTGGTCTGTTAAATTTCAGATCATCAAGACCACAATAATCAATCAACAAGACGCTCTTTCAACATGGAGACGGTGGAGAATGAGGACGGTTAGAGACACCCTTTGCACTCGTCCGCTAATAATGTTTCAGTTGAATTTTTATGATTATTACAATCAATAAAGAAAGGTTTTAAACCCACATCAATAGAATAGACTGAGGTAAAAAAATGGACAACGAATTAATTTAGCAATATCGAACACTCTAGATCCAAGTTCACCAAAATCAGGAATGACTAGATTAAATTTCTTTGCATGGCTAATGAGCAAATTCAATGCGGGGAATAATAAGTTAATCTCTTACTTCAATTTGTTCATAAAATTCTAATTTCATGTCAAGAGCTACTAAAACTCTCTAATAAAATTCTTAAATCTGATAAGAGATTTGTAAGAACTTCATAACAAACTGCTAGAATTCTGGTGTTATTCTTATTTGTTTCTTATCACCATCTTATCTGGAAAAGCTGCTCCACATGCTGACGTAAGAGGACAACAATTCTTTTCGTTTTTCTGTGATGATAACTTGGTTCTAAAAAGGTACCTTCACCACTCGTTCTAAGCCTGTACTGGCTGTAGACTGGCGGTATACTTCATTGCAAGACTTGAATAAAGTTCGAAAAAATTAAATTACATACGAAGAAAACAGGTCTAAAAAAAAACCGGTCTAAAAATAAGAGGCCAGGCCGGCCGGTTCAAAACAGCAGATCGACCGGTGACCGGCCGACCCAAAAATCTTTTTAGACCGGTGAAAAACGGCAAAAAGGCCGGCCGGTTTTCAACAAATTTCGAGAACAGTGAAAAACCGGCAAAAAACTGGGCGGTTTAGACGCTTGTATCAGTAAATCAAAATGAAAAAGTCATTTTCACTAGCTTTTTCATATTTCTGTTACTTGTTTATTTGAAGTTATCACTTTTCTGCACTGTCCTAATTCCAGTTTACAACAATATCTGCAACAGATTAAATAGTACCAAACAAACCGAGAATCAAAACAGGACGCGAAATATTCACAAACAAAAGAAATGAAAACTTCTTATTTTTTTGGCCAATTATTATTTAAATATGCTTCTTTCAGAACTACTAACGATTCAACACATTCAGG